CTACAGTACAGCATCAACATTGATGTTAATAGGTCAAACACTGCTTGAACAGCAGCCAAGCAATTGATGACCAAAATTACCACAGCAACTTGTGAGGGGCAAATCCAAAGTGTGGGTCTTCCTTAAATTCGGCAAAATTCGACTCAATCGGTAGGTATACCAGTTAACATGGCAGTTTGAGGTGTGAGAACAATATGGCAGCCACGTGTCCATCCTGGAATATGCAGGTACAATAGTGAGTCTAATGTTTATAGTATACAGTAAATACTAGAATGACACACTGGATTTAGTCAGCCAAGCAATTTTTTAACAGCAAGAGTTAGTGTTACAGGCCACATCTTGACAGAAATGGTGGACTGGTTGCCATTTAGATTTATGAATGATCCTTATTTTAACATACCGTATATTCGTCTTGTTGGTACTGGAATTATACTTGTATTTCATGATCATTTTTAAACTTATAAAGATTTGAACTGTAGCAGTTTGTATGATAGGCCATAATGTTTCAATATTATTCATACTTGTTTGGTTTATGGAGCTGTATGAAGGACCCTTTACAAGTGTACAAATAATGTAACTTAAAAAGATTTGTTATTTGATGAAATATCAAGTCGTCACTGCAAGTATACAGTAAGTCGCATATTGAAATGTCAGTTCAATCAGTGCTTTGGCTCATAAGATGGGACCATTTTTGTGGACTAAAATATAAAGGTTTATTTGTCCCACAATACCTGCCTAGTATCAGAATCCACAGTGAAACACAAAATAGAGGATACAAGTGGAAGCCCAAGGAAGTGCACTTAAAATTGAGAACAGGGTGCACTTTTTTATACCAATGATTGTGGGAGTATGGAAAGAGTATCCAGACATACTGTTGAAGCTGTTGTCATGGGTTCTTTTAAGAAACAGCTGGATGACATCCTAGCTATCGTCAACCAAACAGACAAGAAGGACCAAATGTCCATTCATAGAGGATCAGGGAAGGCCTATAATAAAATATTAATGTTTATGGGGCAAGTTGTTTCATAAGCTAGCATCTTGTTATGTCAGAAATGTCACACCCGACATCCCTCCCTAGAGGGCGCTCCACTGCTCCTATTATTGTTCGTGTGATTTAAGCTCTCCAGGTGTACCCTTTTAGTGTTATTATTTAAAGACTAGCTCCTCCAGTCCTCGGGGCTCATCATTAGGGTAAGGATGTTGTGAGGCCTGCCTAGCACCAGGAAACCCTACGTCCGTCTCCTGAGGGCATAGGCCTCATCCCCGACACCTCCCGCTTCCTGAGCCCGGGGTCTGGAGGATCTCGCCCCGTCCCTTGGACCTCCATGTTTCGTTTGTCCGTGTGCTCCCCCCTCCCAAGGATTTTAACTTTGTCGCGTCCCAGGATGGATTTCTAGTTGATGGACTCTCGGACTGTGCTTTGACCTACCCTTGGACCCGTTTGGATTTGGATGCTGTTTTGTCTTCCCCGTACACTGTCTCACGGACTGTCACTATTATTTTGTGCACTATCAAACCCCTGTGTGTTCCCTTTTACCACGCCTCCTGTTTTCTCCAGCTCTTACCGCATCGCACAGGGTCTACTGCAAGATCCGACACGGATCTCAGTCCGTGTTCGTGACAAGAAACTATGATAATGGAGCAGGAATTCTGTTAGCTTCTATAACTGTTCCTGAAGGAAGAGGAAGGACAATTATATTGTAATGTGTTTTTGAATATTATGAAATGACAGACAATTATTTACAGAATCTATCGCAGAGAAAC